GTGATCAAATAGTGGTGATGTTCGGTCACATTTAAAGATTATCACAGCAGCATTTAACATCAATTCCTATTGAGATTTTAACAGCAACAGAAATTAGTCATAATCTGATCTGTTTTTTCTTAGCTGGATGTTAGAGGGAAATGGTGGATAAGGATTGATAAAGGAAGGTGCTCAAAAATATAATTAAAACTTTAAAAACAAATGCAAACAGCACCTTAACCAGGTAGAAAGAAAATGTTAATTGTAGCATCAATATAGTACTGTAACACCTTACATACAGATCAGTTGGGTTCCCATAACCTGATAGAATTCTAATATAATACCAACAAGAAGACAATAACCCCAAAATTTTAGGAATTGTCATAGAATGCGAGAAAGTAAACTAACAAAACAATCAAGCGTCTCGCCAGTGATAACGTTAACGAAAACAACAAAATAAGACTACAAAATAATAGAAATACAAACAAAGCGTAACGACATAATTTAGTGAAAAAATATTTTTCTTGTCAAGGGGAACACATACAAGAAGTAACAGGGAGAAAGGTGAACTCAGAACAATGAAGGGAAACATATTTCAAAAACCACTCGCTAGAGAAAGGCTAAGGCAGCAGAGCTTAGGACTCATTGAGTTTTCATCAAAGGGAAATTCACCAAATGGAGAGGGTCTGAGTGGCAGGGGCGCCTGTGCTGTCCGCGGGGCCCAGCTCCACCATTCTACACACCGAGGCTTGCCGAGCAGAGGCGAGTGAGTAGGCTTACCCGAGCCCTGGCCTATTCATTGTAGTAGCCGTGGCCCCTGGCCCTGGCGCTGCGCTCCCTGGGCTGCGCCGCCGCCACCCGAGCCCCGACACGAACAGGTCTTTTTCCACTCTTTGTTTTCAACCATGGCTTTTTAAATGTCCTTCGAAAGCGCCGCGATTCTCTTTCTCACTGCCATCGTCCGAATCGAGTCGACGCGTCTGAGACGTGCGACGAGCCTCCGCGTTAACAGTCGAACATCCGTCAAGGGGTATACCTTTGAAAGTATTAGCTAAAATATTGACATCTATCATCGACACCCACGACCACAACACGAATCCCACTCGTAGCCCCCCACCATCGGCACCACCACCGTGGCTACGCCAGGCTACGCGCTCACGGTGAATGAAACATCCAACGCGAGGCGCCATTGGCTGGTGGGAGTCACTGGGCAGCCTACAGGGGGAGAGCCGCGCGCTCCCATTGGCTGACCGGACAGAGAGAAGCGGAGGAGCCCCAAAGCTGGAGCGCGCTCACTTACAAACTAGCGAAGCCAACCAACACAGGGAGAGCCCATTCTTTGAAAGCAGGCGAGTTCGTAAGCGTGCCTGAGAAGAGGTGTGTGCAGTCTTTCGTGTCATGCGAGAAACCAAAGTTGGCTTAAACAGCAGAACCAATCAAATTTAATCAAGTGAGCTCGCTACAGACGGCTACGGCTACTCCCTCAAAACTAAGGCAGAATGTCACTCACCGTGACACTCATACAGGGTGGTCCATAGGCCCCTTCCTTTATTTTGCTTATACTGTACCGCATGCAGGCGTGCGGGCGGGCTTGCCTACCGTCGTTTCCCACGGCGCCTTATTGTGGCCCCGTGTGAGTATGCAACCCGCACGCACGCCTGCATGCAGTACAGCATAAGCAAGATAAAGGAAGGAGTCTGTGGACCACCCTGTAGTCAAAATCTTTGCCTTCATAGTGAATTATTAGCATTTATTGATTGAACTAGCCAGATATGGGAAATCGAATCGACGTCAATTTCACGTCCTTTGACGAAATCGATCAAAATATCGACATTAGGTTTCGGTGATAGGGCGATTTAGCCGTGTCATTTGAATCCTTGGCTGAGTGCCAAGCGGTGGTAGATTTCAAGCGGGATGCGCATTGCTCAGTCCGTCCCCACACGCCTCTCGACGTACATTGATGCGCCCTGCACCTAGTCCTTCCCCCGGTGGTATCTTTACGTCGATATCACTGCATTCTTATGTCGCTCCACTTATTTTAGTAGCGGCGTACCGTAGAAACATTGGCTAATGCGGGGCACTCACTGCTTTACTTTAGCTAATGTAAAGCACCGTAACCCACGTTAGATAAAGTACAAGAGTCAATCACACTCAATTCTACGGTACATGCGTGACTTGTAGTATTTTGTGGGAAAATAAACTAGTGGAAGACACAAAATTGAGACGATAAAGCGGAAGGGAAAGGAAAGAGATCCAACGCCGTATGTCTGCTTAAGATTTGTTTATTCTGGGCAATGAGTTGAGCACGTGCTCCACGCGCGCCCGCAGCGCCTCCAGCTCCCGGTGCACCGCGCGGAAGTTCCTCTCCGTCCTCTCGTTGGCCTCGTGGAGCTCCCTGCGCGTCGCCATGTCCCGGCGCACCAGGGACAGCTGAGGACAGAGAAAAGTAACGTAGCATCCATCCGCGTCCATCGCAATTCACCTCGGCCACGGGATTTCTTGGGGATAATATCATACAAGAAACAATAGGTCGATATGATACCCCCCCCCCACACACACACACTATCCGGTTGGGGGGATCTTTCCGTGCCGCTCTCACCTCGTCGTACAGTTTCACTTCGCTGAGCGAGGCTTCGGCCAAACATCCCCGGTGGGCCCCCGGGCCGTAGGGGGCTGTAGGGGTGGACACGCCCCCCGGAGCCCCGTGAGGGCCAGTCAGGAGGTCCAGGCTGCTCGCCGACCGCTGGGCGGCGTTTCGGATGGCGATGGCCACGATGCCGTTTCGGATGTTCTCTGGAAACACCTGCGGTCAAGACAAGGATAAGGCATTTATTTGTAGTATTAAGGTAAGTTGAAAAGGTACACCCAGAAAACCACCCAGAAAACCCAGAAATCCACATCGGAACGATATTCATAGGGTCAGGACGGGGAAGAATAAGCCCCTCAAATTTGCGGAAGATTTAGACATTTTCTTCAGCGATCTGGTTTTCATACTTTTTGACGCAAAACGTACACAAAGCTCTTACATACCTCCGCCAGCAGGTGACTTTAATTGTCAACCAATTTTGAGAAATCACAACATTTGTTCTCGTTAAAGAAAAAAAAACGTAGCTAAAGAGGAACCCGACCGACCGGCTGTTTACCCTGCGTACGCATGAGGCCGAGAAAACGTTTTGCGCGGGGATGTAATCCTTTCAATACTACCTCCGTATATTACGGGGCGATTCGTCAGCGCCGCCCTCTCTTTGGGTGATACACAATACACAATGATGAGCGCGGAGTGCGAACGGGTCGCATACTCGCTCGGGGCCGCAAAGCGCCTCGGTGAGACGATAGGCAAGCCTGCCTGCACGCCTGCATCCGGTGCGGTATAACCAGAAGAAAGGGCGGCGCGGATGGGTAGTAAAGATAAACAAGTACGCGGGCCGCGGGGGGAACGGGGACGACTTCCCCAGCAGCGCCAACCGCATTAAATGCGCTGCAATGTGCATTGAATGTGGCACATGAAATGTGGCACATTTTACAGCGCATTGCAGCATTTAATATGCATTTAATGCGCGTTTAGT